AAAAAAAGACATGTCATATAACATATGGTCTATTGCTCCAGTATCTAAAATCCATGTTGTTTTAGATAATTAACTAGTGACAATACAAGAGAAAGTAGGGCACTTACCTTTTGGCTCAGCATAAGCAGTGGCAATCATAGAAGTTGTTGAACTGTTCCCAGTAACATGTTTATCTTCCTGAGACTTTCTAAATTCTAAGAACTCATGAAATAAACTGTTAGTAAGAGAATCAGAAGTAGTATTGTTAGTGATATTGTTCTCAGCAATGGTAGCATTAGCAGAATGGTTAGGGTGAATTCTAGGGCCTCTAGGGCCATCCCAATTGTCTGGATACCCTATGACTTGAAAACACCTTTCAGAGGGGTGATTGTATCCACAGGGAATGCATTTGGGTCGAGTATATGGTGGTTTTTGTGAATTAGTTGAGTAGGGAAGTTGAGGCTTATCTTTTGAGTAGGTAGATATTGGTTTTTGTAAGTTGGCAAATGGAGGTTTGTATGAGTTGGTTCTGTTGAATTGAGGTTTTTAGTGATTGAAAGAAGAATGATGTGATTTAGCCAGCATAGCCATAGAATCAATAGGTTTAGTGTTAGACAGTGATCTTTGGCTTTCTTCTTGTAGTAAGAAAGAGTAGATAGTAGATAGGGAAGGCATTGGGGATGAAAGTAAGAAATGGCTCCGAAGTGTGGAGTATGAATCATGAAGACCAACAAGGAATTTAAGGACAGAGTCTTGCTGTTGTGCAAAGGCCATTGCTTCAAACAGATCACAAGTACAGTTAACAAAAGCACCACAATTACATTTGAATAGAGGACGGTAAGCAACATATTCATCCCACAGTGATTTAAAATTATTATAATACTGTGTGATAGATAATGAACCCTAATCAATAGTGCTTAGTGATTTTTCTAGTTGAAAAACCCTAGAACCAGTGCTCATAGCATATCTAGTGTGAACTTCATCCCATACATCACGTGCAGAAGTAAAAAACAGTAAGGATTGCCTGATTTCTTTTGAGATTGAGTTCAGAAGCCATGAGAGAACAAGATTGTTCGCTCGGCTCCATGCAAGGAAAAGAGTAGGGTTACCAGTAGCAGGTGGAATGGTAATGGATCCGTCGATGAAGCCGATTTTGTTTTTGACTAAAAGGGCCATGACAACTGCACGGCTCCAGGAGACGTAATTGTCATCGTTAAAGGTGTCCGCAACGATGAGAGCACTGAGATTATCGCTCGGGTGTAGGTAGAAGGCCGATGAAGGATCGTCAGAGGATTGACCGCCATATGAGAGATTTAGGGTTACGATGTATAGATCGTAAAGAAATAAGAGATATAGCGATAGAAATCAGAGATTTAGAGCGCTGTAGCTTCAGAAAAAAAAAGAGATTTTTTGGCTCTGATGCCATATTAGAACAGATCTAGAAATCGAAAGATTGTTTTTACAAAGAGATTGAGAGAGGCGATGAAGAAGAGGAAGAGGCGTCTGTGATGGGAAAAGAGAAGAATGAAAAATTAGGGTTACAAAAAGTGTCCTGGCACCTATTTATAGGAGAGGGTAAAATAATAAAAGAACATGTAATGTTATTAATAACTCATCTCCTGAAGATTCAAATGCTGAGACTGGTGCACTACAATAGCATATTGTTTATGGTCATTTCTACTAGGACTCGATATATCATCTGCAAAGCAACATTGAACATATATGGAATATTTCGAATCAGAGTTAATTTTCAACTTCACATTGGAAACCATTAAATAATTCAAATTGTTCACACTACAAGAAGCAATCCTTCCCCCAGTCAATAGACTTGCCTCGTTAAAATCATTATCGACAAGAAATTCCAAATGAAACATGATTATCATACAAGTATACAATATTTTAATATGAATTAACTACTCATATAAAAAGCAACATTACTTGCTCATGGAGATGGATTGAACTTTATGATCTAGCCTTTCATTTTTTAAATGGCAAACATATCTGCGATGCTTACTTTCCAATACATGTGCAATCAAAATATGTTCTTTACATCGTCATCATCAGACAAACTCACTTTTTTTTTTTCATGGGCACGATGTAGCATAAGATGAATAAATGTGAAATTCATCTGACCACCTCTTACCAGTAGAAGTGTACATTTATTTAAGACTCAATCCGACGTGTATAAATAAGACAAACAGTTCATTATTATAGGAACATCTCTCTAACTATAATATAAAATTTCAAATGAGTTAGATAAAATGAAACATCAAAGTTCCCAGCATAAACAGAGGTACTATACTACTCAAACAGAGGTACCAAAAGCAAGCATAAGTGGTATAATGATAATTTTCGAGAAAAAAACATAATCTAACATAAAATGGTTGATAGATATGAAAAACAACAAAGAGATTATTGTTATCTTCTTTGTTTTAGGTTGAATATGAAGAACATTAATATTCAAAATTGATTTCTTAACAAAATATGAAGAACAAAATTTTAGAAAAAAAAATACGAGTAAAATACGGGTTCAGACTCCTCATTAAATATACATAGACCGACCAAATTGTCGTCGGAAAACACCGAGTTAGGAGCTCCCCGGATAAAAACATCAAAATTAATCGAAGGGGGCCGCCCATCTTTCGTCAGAGTTCATCCCATCTTTCACCAGAGTTTTTCTCGATTGTCTGTCGCCGGAATTCTTCTCGCCAGACATTAACTGGAATTATTCTTGTCGTTGGATAACTTG